CTCCACAGCGCTGAGCCAGGACAGACGCTAAAATAGCCACAGCCACTCACCTTAGGTTCCAGCAGAGGGAGGGTGGACTGGACTGGAACTGTGTAGGGACACTCGGGATGTGGAGGGCGCTCAGAGCTTTTGCTGAATTGCAGCCACGCAGAATGGTGGCCATCTTATTCCTTCCCAGGGCTCTGGGGAGAAGCAGCAGCCCCTCCCTCAGAGATTCAACTCCCCCTCCCCCGGGGGCCACTGAAATGCAAATTGAGGCTCATTAACAACCAGAATCTGCCCCACCCTTGGGAAATCCCTATACTGAATACCCTAGGGAGTTTCTCAATCAACTGAGAACCCAAAGCTCTTCAAGTAACTGCTACTAATAGCCTCCAGGCAAAAAGCTAGAGGATAACTGAACCTTTCCTGGGCTTGCAACTCTACCCAGGAAAGTAAGACTTGACAGTGGTTTTTAACATGGGTCCTCCCTCACTCATCCAAACCCAGGAGAGGGAGTCACAAACAGCAGAACACCAATACCTACAGGGAAAATTTGGCAGGCTCCAAAACCCACTGAGATAGCCAAAATGGTGAAACAAAGAAAAATCCCAAATGAAAGAACAAGAGACCTCTACCGAAGATGAGATAAATGAAATACAGTTAAGCAAGTTAACAGAGCTAGAATTCAGAGCCATGATCTTGAGGAAGCTCAACAGCATGAGTAAGGACATCAGCACCATGAGTAAAGACACAGAAACATTGAAAATCAACCCGTTGGAAATTAAAAGCCACCAAGAAAAATGAAGAATGACATAGCAGAAATCAAGAATACATCGGAAGGATTAAACAGCAGAATAGAGGAAACTAAGGACCGGATCAGTGAATTAGAAGACGGTAGAAAAAAATCAACCAGTCAGAAAACCAAAAGGAAAAAACAATTAAAAAACAGGACGACAGCTTAAGAGAATTGTGGGACAATTAGAAATGTAATAATAATTGCATCATAGGAGTCCCCGAAGAAGAAAGTGAGCAAAGGTTAGAGAATATATTTGAAGAAATAGTGACAGAAAACGTACCTAACTTGGTAAAGGAAGAAGGCATTCAAGTTCAAGAAGCACAAAGAGCCCCAAGTAATAAGAACCCAAACAGGCCCACACCAAGACACATAGTAATTAAAATGCCAAAAATTAAAGACAAAGAGAGAACCCCAAAGGCAACAAGAGAGAAGCAACAGGTTACCTACAAAGGAACCCCCCATTAGGCTCTCAGCTGACTTCTCAACAGAAACATTACAATCCAGAAGGGAATGGCATGAGGTAATCAGGGTCATGAAAAACAAGGATCTGAATCTAAGACTACTCTACCCAGCAAGGCTGTCACTTAAAATAGAAGGTCAAATAAAGAGCTTTCCAGACAAAAAAAGGCTAAAGGAATATATTAGCACCAAACCAGCACTGCAAGAAATGTAATTAGTAGAATAAATAGGAAGAAAAATATAACCACACTGCACAAAAAATGGCAGTAAATAAGTACATATCAGTAATCACTTTCAACGTAAATGGATTGAATGCTCCGATAAAAAGACACAGAGTAGCTGATTGGATAGAAAAAAAATCTTCCAAGCAAATGGAAAGGGAAAAAAAGCTGGGGTAGCAATACTCATATCTGATAAAATAGATTTCAAAATGAAGGCCATAACTAGAGACAGGGCCACTGCATAATATTAAAGGATCTATCCAACAGGAAGGTAAAACCTTGGTAAACATATATGCACCCAATATAGGAGCACCAAAATATATTAAAAATCTTCTGGAGGACTTCACAGAAGAAATCGACAGCAATACAATTATAGCAGGGGACTTCAACACCCCGGTAACATCACTGGATAGATCCTCTAGACAAAAAATTAGCAAGGAAATAGAGACTCTAAATAAAGCACTAGACCAAATGGATTTAATAGATATCTACAGAGAATTACACCCCCAAACTAGAGAATTCACGTTCTTCTCAAGTGCACATGGGACATTCTCAAAGATAGACCATATATTAGGACACAGACTAAGTCTCTACAAGTTCAAGAAGATTGAAATCATATCAAGCATCTTCTCAGATCACAATGAAATGAAACTAGAAATCAATTGCAACAAGAACATGCAAAGATATTGGAATACATGGAGGCTAAATAGCATGTTATTAGACAATGAATGAGTGACCATGGAGATCAAGGAAGAAATTAAAAATTTCCTGGAAACCAATGAAAATGAACACACAACACCACAAAATCTATGGGAGGCAGCAAAAGCAGTTCTGAGAGGGAAGTTCATAGCACTACAGGCCTACCTCAAGAAACAAGAAAAATTTCTAATACACATATAACCTCACAACTTAAAGAACTAGAGAACAAACAAAAATAAAACCCCAGAGCAAGTAGAAGGAAGGAAATACTAAAGATCAGAGCAGAAATAAATGACATGGAGACCAAAAAAACAATTCAAAGGATCAATGAAACAAAGAGCTGTTTTTTCGAAAAGATAAACAAGACTGATGGATCCTTAGCTAGACTCACCAAGAAACAGAGAGAGAACCCAAATACACAAAATCAGAAATAAAAGAAGTAACAACTGACACCATAGAAATACAAAGAATCGTTAATAAATACTATGAACAATTATACGGCAATAAATTCGACAATCTAAACAAAATGAACAAATTTCTAGAAACACATAGTCTCCCAAAACTGGACCAGGAAGAGAGAGAAAACTTGAACAGACCAATAACAACTAAGGAAATTGAAGAGGTAATCAAGACTTTCCCAGCAAACAAAAGCCCAGGCCCGGACAGTTTCATGGGGGAGTTTTACCGAACATTCAAAGAAGAACTAACACCCATTCTCCTCAAACTATTTCAAAAAATTCAAGAAGAAGGAAGATTGCCAAACTTGTTTTATGAGGCCAGCATAATTCTAACTCCAAAACCAGAAAAAGACACTACAAAGAAAGAAAACTACAGGCCAGTATTTCTGATGAACATAGATGCCAAAATCCTGAACAAAATACTAGCAAATCAAATCCAGCAATACATCAAAAAAATTATTCACCATGACCAAGTGGGATTCATCCCAGGGATGCAAGGCTGGTATAATATTTGCAAATCAATAAATGTGATACACCACACATAAACAAAATGAAGAATAAAAACCGCATGATCATATTAATAGATTCTGAAAAAGCATTTGACAATCCACCACACATTTCTGATAAAAATGCTCAGCAATGTGGGAATAATAAAGGCCATATATGAAAGATGGACACGGACAACAAAGTCAGGTATGGGGTGGGAGGGATGGGGAGGAGGCTGTCAGTGGGGAAAAAAGGAGAAACATCTGTAACAAAAGTAAATTAATAAAAATCTAAAAAACACAAGTCAGGGTTCCTGAAAAAGTGGTGAAGTGAAGAATACATGGTTTGAAGAAATGCAGGTACATGGTAGACAATGAGATATTGGTTCCCTGTCCTCACTGGAATTAGTGGATACTCACTATACACAGGAGTAAGGGAGCCCTTCATATTGGTTTGACTTATTTTAGAAACTTGGATTATGATATTTATATAAGTAAAACGATATGAGTGATTTGAGCCAAGGGTCATCTTGATACTTTTTTGTTTAATCCTCACCCGAGGATATTTTTCCATTTATTCTCAGAGTGGGAAGGAGAGAAAGGGAGAGAGAGAGAAACATCAACATGAGAGGGACATTGCCTCCCGTACGACCTCGACCAGGGCCAGGGACAAACGGCAACTGAGGTATGTGTCCTTGGCCAGAATCGAACCCGCAACTCATTGGTCCACTGGCTGACGGCTGTACTGCTGAGCCAAACTGGCCAGGGCTCACCTTGATACTTAATTGTTTGTCTTGGTTCAGGGAAGAAACTTGGTAGTGGGTAAGAGGCCTTGCCTTATGCTAGGGAGGATCAGAGAAGCTCATGGCTTTTTTTGGGAAATGATCTGTGTTGTGTATCCTGGTTTGTCCAGATTTGGGGGTGGTGTGTGTGTATTATTTACATGAGAGAATGCTTCCGAATCCTCCCTGTTAAGCTAATAAAGCTGCTGTTGAGACACGTGGTACAAAAGATTTAACACACAAGCCCATTGCTACCTAAAGATGATTGTTCCATCTTTAAAGGTGATTGTTTCTTGACCTTGATGAAAAAATTTTAAGGTGCTTCTGTTATTCAAACCAAAAGTCAGAGTATAGAGATCTTTGTTAAAATTCAAGATAAAAATAGAAGTTAAATATTCCTTATTATACATTGGAAAGGCTGTCGTTTTATGTAAAGCGACTGTGCAGGATCCTTTCAGCTGAACTTAAGACATGCTGTGCTTGACAAGTCACCCATGAAAACTCCAAAAGGCCTTGTACCGTGTGATTTGGTTTTTTTCTTATGTCAGTTAAAACATAGTTGTTTAAAGACTTTTTTGTGTACCTTCTAACAGTGTAGCTCCATCCTGAGTGGTGGGAACACCTGTGGCAGCTAAGACTCCAGTTGTTAAAATCTCTCTGATTTGTGTTTCCAACTTCAGGTGAACGGTAACCTCAGTTCCGCCCTATTAATGTTCAGGTTCAGACGAGAGTTCAGGTTCCGTCACACTACTGAGGCAGTTTACACACTGCAGGGTCACCGCGTTCACACCGGATCCCAGTGCAGCTGAGCAACCATTACTTTATTTTCTCCACTGAGTACATTTTTTAAAGCGTATAAATAGGCAGTAAGTCAATAAAAATGTAAGACACATCAAGGGAGCTATGACTTTCAACTTATTTCCGTGGAAAGCATTGGCAGACAGTCAACTCCTGGGAAGAAAGCAGGCGCCGCCCTGCACAGCAAGTACGTGTCGGTCTCCAGTGAGGTGGGATGGGTCTTGGCGGAGCAGAAAACTGACTTCTGTCTGTCTGGATGTTCCCTCTGCACATGGACGCTTTCCCCAGCATTCATTGTTGTTTTCCTCCTCCTCTCCCAGGAGTCTCAGCAGATGCTCGGAAGACTTATTCCAGAAAAGCAGATACTCAGCGATCAGTTAAAACAAGTTCAGCAAAACAGTCTGCACAGTAGGTGTTTATATTTTTTAAGTTTCTGTGCTTCTGTTCTTCACTGGCAAGAATTTCCTTACCTGAAAGAATATTAAAAACCGTTTTTCCTCACTGCCACTTTGTTTTTCTTACCTTGCGATGTTTTTCTAAAACAGGAGATTCTCTTCTTACACTCAAAAGAGCCTTAGAAGCAAAAGAACTAGCTCGCCAGCAGCTCCGAGACCAACTGGATGAGGTGGAGAAAGAAACTCGATCAAAACTACAAGAGATTGATATTTTCAATAACCAACTTAAGGTAATTGTTCCTTGTGTTCTGACATGTGTGTCCTCCTTTCTCGTTTTCCTGACAGGCCAGGTGATCAAGTGATATTTAATCCCAGGCAGAAAAATGTAGTATGCTGGTAGGTCCACCCTTGTGAAAGCGTTCACATTTATAGACAGACATTGTATAATCTAAATTGCATTTTTCTCTTTTAAAATGTAAAAATGAGTTTGGAATCAAAAGATTTATAATTTGAAACTACTCAGAGACAAATTTAAGATTTGGTCTCTTGAGTATCTCCTACCTACTTTTCTTTGTCCTAGCCACATTGGACAACGGAGCATATTGGGTCTGACTTTAGGGCATGGTTCATGTGCAGCGGCACTTTGCTGTACGAGGAGATGGAGCTGGAGAGCCATGTCCTGGCCCCTGGGACTTCTCCTCGCCTCTTCTACCGCAGCAGGGCCGCCCGGCCTCCAGACCAACCATGACTCTTCCTCTGCCTTCGGGGAGCGCGCATGGGCAGTGGGCCTCTCATGCCCCGTGTCTGATTCGATGGTGGCAAATGGCCTGAACCTTCCCCTTCCAAAAGGGAACCAGATGGAAAGTGCAGATAAGATATGAGGACCTAGCAGTTTTATTTTATGTTCATGGAGATGGTTCACCTAGGGGAAAAATGTGGTTCACTCATTGTCAGCTCATATGGTAGCACTGGAGAAATACCTTATGCAGTGAAACATTTGAAATTAGTTGACCAGAATATTAAACTATGTTCAGTGGCTGCTCATGAATAAAGATTAAACCATGCAAAAGCCCATTCCTGAGTTTCTTCTGTATAAAACTATTTGCAGTGAGCCATCTACTTAGTTCAATGCACAATCGAAGTCATGCAGTAGTGCATCCTACCATTGTCTTCTTCAAACAAATTGCCCAGCCACCATGGCTGGGTGTTTAGAGCGAGGCCTGAACCCAAGGGCCCTGGGTTTGATCCCGGTCAAGGGCATGTAGCTGGGCTACAGACTTGATCCCTTGGGGGCAACCAACCCACGTGTACATCGATGTTTCTTTCTCCCTCCCTCTCCTCCTCTTTCCTTTCTCCCACTCTCTAAACGTCAGTGGAAATATACCCTCATGTGAGGATTAACAAACAACAAAAAATACATGCACTCTGATTTAGTCCTTTCTACTAGATGCCTTGTTCAAATTTATTCTGCTTTTGAAGGTCTCTCCCTTTTTCTTCAGTTCAGGACGAATTATACTCCTTCCTCCTCATCCAAGATCAATGGCCAGTGGTGGAAATTCTCAAGTTGTTAATTAAAGAGGAAAAAACTTATTTTGTAGTCAGGTTAATAGATATTTGTTTCATATAGGTAGCAACATACTAGAAATATAAAGCATATTTGCAGTTATGGTCAATTGTTGTTAATTGGCTCCAGATTCAGGGATATGGAATGTAAAGTCTCTAGAGTGTTGGACCTTTACTTTTCTATCTGCTCTCAGAGAAATTTAGGGCTCATTCTTTCAGAAAAGGCTATTCTTTGTACATCTTAATAGACATCTACATTATAGATGTGATGATTTTATATTTCAAAAATGATCCCAAGACATGCATGCCTTTGTTTTTCCAATTCATCACCCAAATCAAGAATTACTTGAGAAAGGAAACAGGAATCTTACTGTAGCAAATAAACTTTGCTTTTGTAAGTCTGCTGAACAGGGACAGGTGGAGGGAGAAATGGCAGCCCCGTGAGATGCTGCAACTCATGTTAGACACTCCCTGAGTAGGAGCCTTTGTATTTATGCTGCCTTTTCTTTTCTTTTTTTTTTTTTCTATCCTCACCTGAGGACATTTTTTCATTTTTTGTTCAGATAGAGTGGGAGGTAGAGAGAGAGAAACATCGACGTGAAAGGGACACATCGAGTGGCTGCCACCCGCACGACCCAACCAAGGCCAGGGACAAACTGCAACCGAGGTACGTGCCTTAGCAGGAACCGAACCCGGGTCTCTCTGTACCACAGGCCGACGCTTCAAATGCTGAGCCAAACCAGCTAGGACTATGCTGCCTTTTCTACGAACAGTAAATCTTAGCTTTTTTGATGATCGGATGAAATATTCAACCAGTGATATAATTGATTTTGTTAGTAATTATTACCAGCACGAATTCATACTTCTTTTTTTAATCCTCATTCGAGGACATTTTTGCATTTGTCTTTAGATAGAGCGGGAGGGAGGGAGAGGGCCAAACATCGACCTTAGAGACACACATTGACTGGTTGCCACCCACATGACCCCAATTGGGGCCGGGGACAAAGTGCAACTGAGGTATGTGCTCTTAATGGGAACTGAACCCAGGACTCTGCTCCACCAGCTGATGCTCTAACCACTGAGCAAAACCGGCCAGTGCACGGATTAATACTTTTTAAAGTAGTTTTAATTCAATAGATTGAATGTCTTTACCATAATTTTCTGCTTTTAAAATGTATTCTATATGCAGCAAATATTTTATGCCCCAAAATCAGTGGTATTCTCATATGTTTAGACACATCAATTTAAAATTATCTATGACTTTCTCTTTTTACCTGATTCTACAGGAAAATCCAAACTCAGCGTATTTGTATTTAGGAGAATCTGTGTGTCTAAAGCGCGCAGTGATTTTGATAATTGTTTTTCTAACATACAGTGCTTATCTACAGGTATAAAGGTATGATTCTAACCAGTATCAAATAGCATTACCAGTGGGGACCTTTGGAAGTCGCACCTGACTTCACCTTGCCCTTGGCAGTGTTCCTAGTTTCTGTGACAGTTTTCCTCGGCACTGGCCCGAGGTTCTGAATTTTAATATCGTAACTGCACAGGGCAGCGACATAAAGTGTAGCTTACAGCTTTCTCATTGAACTGGACGCCAGATCGGGAGGACCCATCACACAGATGAGCTGTTGTGTTTCCTGTTGTAAAGTTGAGTTCTCACCAGGACCTGTCTGGTCGCTGTGCTGGACCAGTCCTGGTGGCGGTGGCGTTCCCAGCTGTGCATTTCTGTCTGTCAGTGGCATGGAGGCGGCGGTGCCACAGTGCCTGGCAGTCCTCCTGGGCCGCGCCACCCACTTAGACTTCTTTCTCAAGGTCTCCATGCCCTTCTCCGGCAGTCACCTCTTTCTCAAGCAGAGAGTGGTGAGCCATCTGGCCGTCTTGTTTCCCCTCACAGACGGGTGCTCAGCCTGGGAGAGCGCTCACTGGACTGCTAGGCTTCCTTGTAGCAGTTAGTAATGTTCATCATTACTGATCGTCGTGTATGAGTGAGCCTTTCCTCTTGAGGAACCTGTGTGATGGGGGAGGCTCCTCCTCGCAAGCTGGGTACGGTGCTGCGCACTGCAGCCTCGTCTTCACAGACAGCGTGGGGGATCATTGCGTTTGCACGTGGCTCGGAAATTGGAGAATATTTCATCTGATCAACAGTGTCGGTTGTCCATCTGCATGTTTCCAGCGTACGGGAAACTGTTACAGTCAGCGTGCTGTTGCAAAGTACAGTGTTTTATTTCTCAGCAAAGTTTGAATATTCAGGATGAATTCAGAATTATATTCCTTAATAGGGAAATCCAGGCTTCTTAAATTAGACGCAAGAGGCTACTAGAAACATAAACTGTGCCTGTAATTGTATCTGTCCCAGAAATCGCTCCTAGAGACTGAGTTGTTGACATGAGAACGGCAGTGGTGGTGAATACGGGTCTTGGTTTAAGAAACGGAGGCTTTCACGCGCTCGGTTCCGACACGCGCTTTCGTGGCAGGCTCATTCATTGTGAAGGCGGTGAGAGCCCGTGGGCCGCGGCCGGGTGGAACAGAGCGGAGAGCACTCAGGACAGGAGAAGTCGGGGAGAAGGTGGGCGACGGGAAACAGTGAAGGAAAGGAAAAGAAGCAGAAAGAGGAGATGCAGAGACAGCAGAGAAGTTACTGTTAATTCAAATAACAGCGTTGCTTCTTCAGACTAGTGGAGTGTTTGGCTGTTTCATGGTTTGCTGTCTTATTTTGTTCAAGACTGAATTTTATTTTTACCTGTATGTTTGTTTTGAAAAGATCTCTCCTGTACAGAAGTAATAAAATTCTCTTGTGATTGTAGAAACTCGACACAAATTCCATGAATGTAGAGAAGTGATCGGAACACTCCCAAGACTCAAAATAGCTAACGGATGTTGCATGTTAGGTTCTTTGCCACACAGTGGGCTTCTGTGGTTGGTTGGGTTGAGTTTTTTAGTTGTAGTGTGAGTTGGGTTTTGTTTTGTTTTTTAGATTTTAAAAAGTATTTAACAAAAGATGATTTGGAAAAGAGAAAAAGCAAAGCTCAGTCTTTTTTTGTTTAAATCTTCACCTGAAGATATGCTTGATTTTAGAGAGAGCGAGAAATGTCGATGTGAGAAATATTGATCGATTGCCTCCTGTATGCACCCTGACCAGGGATCAAACCCAAATCCTAGGAATGTGCCCTGACTGGGAATCAAACCCACAACCTTTTGATGTGTGGGATGACGCTCAACCAACTAAGCCACCTGGGCAGGGCAAAACTCAACCTTTTGGAAAACATGTTTTTTGTTTTTTTTATTGATTCTCTTATTTAGCCAAACCTCTGAAAATTGTATCCTTTAGACTGATATGCATTTAAAATAATGGGATATTGCTTTGTAAATAAAGCTAAGACATTTTGGGAAAACTCAGACTTTTCAGGACAAAATGAGTCAATTTTCTCTCTGGTGATATAAAGGAGACGTGAGAGAAGATGCTTAGTTAGCCTTTCTATTGCTGAGAGGACGGGATCTTCTACCTCTTTGCCCTCTCTGTCCACCTGTGTTCTGACCTCCTCACATCATACGTGCACACACCAGTGCCCTCCTGTACCCTCCCTAGCACTCAGGATGCACTGGCTGCCAGGCTGTGCTATGGGGAATTGGACTTCTCTCTGGTTGAGTATAGACTTCAGATTTAGAAGTAATATTTAAATGTGTCTTTAAATGTTAGTGTACCCCGCCTGGCCGGTGTGGCTCA